TGGGTCATGTGGAGGCTTTGGGTCCACATCTGTTCTTCACCCCTAACTTTCCGGCACTGTTCCCCTCCTATGCACAGTTGCCACCATGAACCAAATAGCTCTGCTGTGCCACTCCCTCTGCCAGGGTATTTCTGCCCTGAGGCTGCCAACCATGCTGACTCTCCTGGATCCATGACCTAAACTGAAGTTTTTCTCCTTCTGCTCTGAATGTTCGATTTGTGTTTCAGGGACAGGAAGGCTACAATATCCTCTGTATCTCTATCATGAAGACAATATCAAGGGCTTGGGTGTTTGTGTTATTTGTAAAATCAGGAAGTATTAGTCTTATTCTGTTCATTCTCAACACATCTGGGCCACTCAGGTCCTCTGCCTTTGCATATGAATTATAGCACTGGCTCTCTGTTTTATGGAACAGGCCTTTTGAATTTTAACACCAGCTCTCTGATGGAGTGGAAAGCGTTTCCTGTGCACATATTCTCCAATGCAGGTGGATGAAGACTTCAGCTGCAGCTGCACCTGCAGAGCCATGCGGTCTCCTCAGACCCTGACACAGGAGAGAGACAACCGGAGGGTCACGGGTGTGCTTCCACCCACACAGAAACACTCCCGTCAGTTCTTGCTGAAGTGCCCTGTCTGCAGCTCGTACACGGCTCACCTGCCACTGAGCAAGCCACGTAGAGAAATACGGGCTTGAACGCCACCATCTTCTGTGCTCTGTGTTACCCATACGTGATTACTTTCTATAAATAAAACATGAATGCTTAACTTTATGGCGTGTAGATACTACAAATGTCCTGTGGTTTGTATATAGCACCTGACAGTAGTCTTAGCCAGTATTGGAAGATGAGATCTTATTATCTATCTTTTCTGGGTTCATCAGCCGTCCCTCTGCCAGCACAAAATACCTGAACCCAGAAACTTACAGGAAACTTTCATTTTGTCTCACAGTTTCAGAAGTCTCCACCCATGACTGTCTGACTGCAGACTCTAAATAGCGTGTAGAAGGGCCTGCTAGAGGGAAGATTCACAATTCCTGGTGGGAAACAGGAGAAAGACAAGGGACAGGGACAGAGGCAGACCAGGAAACATGACCTCCAAAGTCTAGGAATCCACCCACCTCCCAACAGCCCACGCAGCTGTGAATTCACTGACTTACGACACAGTTTCGCACCCTCATCCCTCATGCTCCAAGCATCTTCCGAAGACCCCACGTCTGAGCCCACAAGACCCTGGGACACATCTTACATCTAAACCATAAAATGTTCCTTTCTGATAAAGCTGAAATTGGGAAAAGTTAAGTTCTGAAGCTCATCTGTCTTAGCCACATACCCTTCTTATAACCATACCCAGACTTGCACAGTAAGCTTTCCAGGGACTGCAAGCACAGAGAGGACAGAATGGACCAATTCCCTTCATGGAAAAAAGCTACTCCTGGGTTTCAAATGAAATGGTAAGGTTGTAAGGGGTTTTCTTATTAAACACATTTGAAAGGGTATTCTTATGAAACAAGAAATCTATTACACAGGCTGTGACAGTCACGAACAGCATTATAGTATACACATCAAAATAGAAGAAAGAATTTTCAATATAATATTTGATTCGCAACTAGAACACATTTAGGTTAGTGGGTAAAGGGCCCTGAGTTTGGAAGTACACCTGATAGGTGTGTACTGAAGAGTCACACTGTGCTTTCTTATTTCAATTATTGTCTGTAATTAAATAAAATTATTAAATAAATAAAAATAAAATAGCATAAAAAGTGTTTTCAGAGAAGACAAAGCCCCTTTGAGAAACAGTAAAACTGAGAGTGAAAAAATTAATCTTAAAACTGTGACTAAATAGGAATACCTTATATTTGGGAAAGGAAAATGAGGAGGCCAATTCCATGAACATTTGGGAGTTCTTATTGGATGAAGTGCATTTGCGACATGACTAAACAACCCCATTACTGCATATTTACTCAAATGAAATACAAGTCAATATTCACACAAAAATGTTAGAAAATGTTTTGATCAACTTTATTCATAATCACCAAGCACAAGATCAGGAAATGCTTCCCTGAACTAAAAGTGAGAAAAACAATGTATGAAGTTCATTTTTTATATTCATCACCATAACAAAATGTTTCCCTACAAATATATGTAGCAAAATCTGCCCCACCTGAGTTCATGCTAAGGAAAAGATGCTATCAGAGCCCACTTTTAGGATTTGAAGGAAGGACATTTGTGCAAAAGCAAAATTATATAGAAAGATGGTTTACTAGTTCTCACAAACTGGGTACAAGAGAAATTGACAACACAAAGATCAGCAAATTGAATAATGGTTGCATGACTACACATTTAACAAACATTGTTAGAACTCTAATATATTGTGCATATCGCTCTGTGGGATTATACATTAATGAGTAATTTACAAAGCACACGTAAATACTCAGAATATCCAAGTTATTCCCCACAGGCAGTTCGCTTCTTCCCTAGGAAAGAGGGAAGGGAGCTGCAGGTGCTGTCCCCGGGAAGTCCCCAGAGCCCGTGTCTGTATAATTTACTCCTGCTTCCTCTGCACTGGCTTCTGATATCACCCACGACTCTAGGCCGCTTCCCTTCACACGGCCCAGACTGCAGTCCTCCCCCTTGAACAGCCTTCCTTCATCTGAACGGAGACAGCTGCTCATGTAAACGGGCTTTCTCCCAATTTCATGATTTTCTGGGAGCCTGCGACATAGTTAAGGGCAGACCTCAAAAATTAGTTCAAGTAATTTGAAAACGATGCTCACTACTTATAAACACAGTTCTGTGAATTGGTGACAGAGGTAAGTTTATTGGTTTTATTTTACAGTATACAAGGAAGTAAGTGACTCTTCTAAGGATCTAAAAAACATGCGTGGTAGATTCTGGACTTGAATCCGTATTAATTATTAATAC